AAACTGAGATCAGCAAACTTTCACAAAACAAAAAAAAAAAATCACCCACAAAAGACACACGTTGAGAAATAAAGTTCACAGAAACTTTGGTCTGCAGCGAGCTCTAACGGTTCTCTGAGTGAGGAAAATGTGCAAGTGAAAATCCTGAGACTCTTTAACCTCCTCCTCCTCCATCCCTGAGACTCTTTGTGCTGACAGAAAACAGCTCCTAGCACAGCCAGGACGTGGGCACCCACTGCGGCTCCGTGTCCAGTTTCTCTATTAACCTGAGCAGTTCCAGGAAAGCCTGGTCCGGATCCATGTTGACGATGGTGGCGTCGAAGAAGTGGCTGTATTTCTGCTCCATCTCTCGGGCCTTTTCGATGACCTCCTTCAGCTCCTCGGGCTGTGAGCAGAGAACGACACGAGACGTAAAAACAGGATTTTAACATTTTTCCTGAATTAAAATTCCAGTTTTTTGTCGAGACTCGCATTTTCAGATTTCTGAATCGATATGTGAACATTTTTAACTCACAAATAAAAGAAGTTGTTTATATTTTGAAAAAAAGGGATTATAAGAAACCAAACTTATCTGCACTGACTTTTAACATTTTATCATATTGTGGGATTTTGTATATAATTGGGAGTTTGTGCACCTTTTTGCTGTTTTTATATAAGCAGATATCTGTGATGTTTTATACAATAAATACTTCTTTTTATTCTGCTTTGTAACTTTTATGTTTTTAGCATTTTTTCCCTGCCATGGGGACTGCAGATTAGCTTCTAGCTACAATCTAGTACAGTATATCTTTACTTAATTGTAGAGCTGGGCAGTATGACCTCAAATACATATCAGGGTATAAATTGAATCCCTTCACAGTAACGGTATATATCACAGTTGAAAATGATCATAAAAAGCAAAATAATGTAATTTTTAGAGCATTTATTTAGCAGAAAACTGTCAACATAATCAAAGCCAGCATTTTTTCCTGTAGTGTAAATGAACATAACAGAAGTAGAAAGCGGGAGGGAGGAAATGATGTCGCCGCATGACGTAACCTTTCTACAGTGGGAGGGGGAAATATTGAGGATTTATTCTCTATACGTGCTTTAAAACTCTATATTTCTTCATTATATTTCAAACTCCTGCTCAGGTGTCTCTGCACTGACAGCCATGTTGACACAGGTGTGATGATGTAACTGACAACAGGACGGTAGAGGGTCAATTTCTACAGTAGGCCGACTTCATATTGTTTCTCCTGTCTATCACATCTATCCACCACACAGCCCTACTTAATTCATTTTGCTTTTCTGAACATGGTCCCTGATGAATAAACAAAATTAACTATATGTACTACAAAAAAAAAGATTAATATTAGGAAATTCTGTTTGTTTTTGTAAACCTTGATCGTGAGGTTCAGTGCAGCATGAGTTTTTTTTTTGTGAAACTATTTGCTGATTCAGTAATTCACCAGTTTGCCATCAGAGTGAACAACATAAATAAATAAGTGCTTCAAAACTTGGTCCATATTTTATTTTATAATAAATTTAAAATGCAGTGCTGTGTGAGTTATTTACTTTTAGATATGATTTTTATCTTTAGAAAAGGAATCAAGTTTTACTCTATTTTCATTTTTACACATTTAAAAACTAGATACCAGAGTAAAATCCATATTTTTCAAACTTTAAAGGGGCAATATCATGTAAAATCAACTTTTTTGAGTTTTATATTATGT